CGAGAGCCCCGCGGGGCTGTCCCGAAGGTGTGAGCCCGGCTCCCAGGGGAGCGGGTCGTTACGGGACCCCTGCCTCACACCCGAGCGCGGCCGGCTACTCACCGTGCAGCTATTTAATTATTTGCTTTGTCTCCTACGTCCTATTTATTAAGCAGTATTAAAGGCCGGCTGTAACAATTTAAGGTCCATTTCCTCATAGGTTTTCTGAGGGATTCATCGGTGTAGTATCTGAACCTACTTATTTCTTCCACACTTCTGCAAAGCTGTATTACCATCCCTCTTTTTCAGAGAGGGAGGTGGGCTGACACAAAAAGCACCCACTAATTTTAGGTTGCCGGGGTGACACGCTAGAACCTGATTTTACCTACGACCGCTTAGACTCAGGTGGAACTTCAGCCACCCAAAGGCTGGCTCTCACTGTGTAGCGCAGCAGTGTGCTACTCCCACGCCAGGACGCCCAGGAGGCTGGGAACAGACTATTGGCAGGCAGCAAGACCTGTCGCTCTAAGCCTGTTTCCCAGAATAGCATTCAGCTGCCTCAGAGATTCTCCTTTGTCTTCTTGCTCTTTTTTCCTACACTCCCACACAGCCTGCAACTTCACCACACCAAATCTTTCAGACGGGACAAGAGCCTCCATCCATTCTTGCAGCAGGCTCTGTGTGCAGGAGGAAGCGGGCTTGGGGTGGGGAAAGGCAGCCGCAGGATTCTGGAGCAGAAGGGAAGGTGCTTGAGCAACGGGGCCAGCTCCAGGTCCCACCAAGCTCGCTGACCCCGCGTGCCCCTGCTGCTCCTCCCGCAGTTTTGTCACCCCAGAGCTCATCCCTGGCACGGCATGCACCTCAGCAGGGAGGGCAATGCAGCCAGCCAGGAGCCAGCGTCACACAGGGCCGGGCGTCGCCCCGTCCCTAGGCAGCGGGACGCAGCGGGCCTCGGTGCTTGGTCCGCAGCATCGCAAGGGGCAAATTCATCCCTTCCGAAAGCTTCTCGTGGAGATAGCACAGCACTAGTCGGGACAAGAAGATGAGGCGAAAGAGGCCATTCCTGGTGGCTTAGGAAACACAAGGAAAAATCTAAGCAGGGGGGGAAAAAAAAGGTTTTTATAATGCATGCAGGTGACAGGTTTCTGGAGCTGCATCAGAACGCTTGCTTATCCCCGGGTTTCAGGCTCTGAGCTACTGGAGCACTATTGACTGTACAAAGGAAGTGTCACTATAGGAAATCTTACACATATTTAACATAAAGAAAAATAAGTTTCTGTAGCCTTAGTCTTTGAAAGAGTGGCTTAACATTTATTTTAAAACCCACAAAACATCCTAGACTGTATTAGATGCTAATGATTAATGTAGTTATGTATCATCATTATGCAAAGCTGTGCATCTCAGTAAGAATACAATTATATATCTGCAAAAAATAATTATGATATTTGCCTTGTGCCCATTGCACAGAGTAAGATGCTATGGCAAATACGACCTTTCACCAAAAATTCACAGGTTTCTGAAATTTTTTTTTCCCCTCTATGCATACAGACATTTAAGGGACTGGATTTTTAAATATTCTTGTAAGCCATTCAGAAAACTAGGACAAAAGCAGAGTAGGAAGGTATAGTGGAAAACATCTTGCAAAGACATAACAACATACAGCATTTAGCACAGCCTGAACACCAGCTGCTGGGAGGAAAATTAGCTCTATCCCAGCTAAAACCAGGACACTGTCTTTGAAGTGTTCTTTCAAGAATGAGAACAGTTGAAACTTTAACAAAGTTCCAATTCCTATTATGCAATAAACACTGGAATTAAATATTACAGAAATATTAAAAACTGTAACAAGAATAGACCTAACTGCAAATTGGTTTTGTACACTTAGTTGTCCTTATTTCCTGTGACCTCTAGATACCAAAATGCTAGTTTGATTTTTTCATACACATTATAAAACAATGAAATGAAAACAAATGCAATCTGGTTCCCTCCCTTTTCCCCCACCCACAACATCATGTTTGACAGAGCTGCGCTCAGCCTGCAATGACAAAACCAAGACCCAGAGCAGGCACGGGGGGATGGCCCTGCTCTTTCAGGAACGCACAGTCCAACCTGTAGGAATACTCCTGTCCGCAAAGACAAATGCCAAGCCTTCATAAAAACCAACAAAACCACACGGAAGATCTCCAGACCCTACCTCCATCAGGCAGCATTTGGAAGCGTGCAGAATGCCACTTCACTCTGACCATACCCCGCGGAAGTTCTGATGCACTACTCTGGGAATGTTTGCTGTTGCCACACGCCACAGCTGCCATCATGGTGCTGACGCTCCTGCTGTCTCCACGGTTCTGGGCGCTCTAGGATGCTCTCCCGCTGCTCTCCTTCAGCTCAGGCCACAAAGCTGTTGGGGCAGAGACCTTTCCTTCGGTCACACGCAGAGTATCTACGGTACAATACAGCTGTGGTTTGTACCTGGATCCCCGGATGCTGTAACTCAAAGAAATCACAAGGATAGAAAGTTCACATCCTTTTCTTTAAGTTACATGGCACAATTCAAAGGTTAGCACTGGAGCTCCTCGGGGAGCAGACAGTTCATCGCTTCTACTTTACACGGATTTAAATCAAGGGGCTGGGATTTGTCCAAAGCTAGCTAACGACTCTCTGATGAAACCAGGAATGAGACTTAGAATTTCTAAGTTTCCTCGTCCTGTCTGTAGCTCTCCTACCCCACCCTTCCCCACCTGCCAGGAGCTGAAACACAGTGTAAAAATACTTCACTTTCTTCAGGGATTTCTTCAGAATCACTAATGTCACGCAGAGCAAACCCCACTTTGCCTTCAACCACTAACGTGGCTCCGTTGCTGGCTCGCTCCCAGAGCCTAGCCGAGTGTCACTAAACATGTCGGCGTATAAGCAGCTGTCGTGTGTAATGCTGCAGCCCTATTGCAGGCTTTTTTCAGCCGGGAATTTACTGAACCCGTACTGACAGCGAAGAGAATACTGCCGATGCTGTGGTAAAGATAAGGATCTGGTCACACTCCGGTGGGTGATTCTGCTACCCAGAGCTGAAACACCAGGGTGGGAGGTGATCATGTGCCAGTTCCACAGCGTGACTGGGATGCCGACACCTGGACGGCCAGGTCCCAGAGGCCCCCCGCTACACCTCATGTGCCCCGGGGAAAGCACAAGAGGGTGTTTCTGCCAGAACACACACATAACTAAACAGCAGATAACGTCCGGGAACAGGAGCCATGACACCATAGATACTGGTCACGAGCTTGGCAAGGAAGTTTTAGTGCCAATGGAACTGCTTTTAAACAAACCTGCAAGTGGCTATGTAGCCAAGGAAGCTTTTTTAACATTTCCAGGCGTGATTGCCTTTAATCAGTGGCCAAAGATGCACGTGCAAGTTTAAGCACTCTTGTTTCAACACCTTCTCCTCTCCCTAGATCAAATGCGCACAGAGCAGGAGGGAACAAGATCTGCGAGTAGTCGCCAGTCAGAGAAGTACTAAAGACTGTCTGAGGAAGCCTAGCTGTCATCATAAGTAAGGATTAGCTACAAACATTCTTTCTAAAGCTTGTTTCACCATTTTCACATACAAACCAATTGTATTTCTTAATGAGCTGATTTCATGAGGTATTTAAATCCCTTTGTTTCATGGAATTACAAGTGCTGGAGGTCACCAGCATCCCACACACTTCAAATTACTCAGCTGTGTGGGGAACAGTATTTTTCTGGCACATCTTCCATTAGCTAACTATTGTTAATCACACAATCTATCATAACAGATTATACGATTATACAGATTGTATTATACAAGCTGCATAATCAGATAGTTAATCTGTGGGAAAATAAATATCCAAGCCTGTAATGACAAAGTCTAAATATTTTTTCTGCTGTCTCTCTCACAGATATTATCAGTTATTATATCTTAATGTCTTTCCCAATTTGTATCTGGTACTAGGAGTTACGGTTTATAAACTGTTCTCCTCATACCAAAATGAATGATTCGTTTAGTTAGTAAGACAAGTCTAATCAGCAGCCTTCCACTAATTTGTTTTGTACTCATCTTAAAAACTGCTGCGAATAGCTTTGGAGCCTGCCCTGCGAGGAAACGCTGCCCGTTGCCATTCAGGGTCTTGGATGCGCTAGCTCAAGCTGAGGGATGACAGAAGCCCTGAAAACTCCTCCAGTGTCTCAACGCTTACCCGCTGCCCTGGACCGACTGCTTTAGTACGGACCTGGGACGGTTACAGTAACGCTCCTGAACAGAGCATTGTTCTGGAGGAGTAATGGTGAGAATCCCTTCAACAACAACAAAACCCAAACAAAATGAAACAGAAAAAAAAAAAGAGCAACGTTTCTAACTTCCCTGGAGATCACTCCAAGCACTCGTCCAATTCCCTGCTCTGCACCGCCCCCCCCCCCAGTTATCTGGCTTCTTTGTCTAAAAATGAGGAGAACCAGAACCCAGTCACAGAGGACGTATCTGTTCAAATGTAGAGCATCACATGCTACAAACTGACAACACGGGCAAAATGGCACGTGATGGCAAGGAGAAAATGCCGCCCTGTTTAGGACACCTAATCTTGGCCGGTTCGTGGACCTGCAGCACAGAGCAGAGGGTAGCCCTTGCCAGTTTTCAGGCTGGACATGACTGCTATCTGCCAGGGCGTGCTGCCTTGACGGGAGGAAACCACTGGGGCTGTGCAGAATGGCGTTCAGCAGCCTGCACACCAGAGACTAGGGTCAACAGGGCCTGGGCCCGGCAGTGTGCCCCCAGAGCGTCCAGAAGAAAGAGGTGCTCTCTTCCAGTACCGACATTCATTATCAAAGTTTAAAAAAAAAATAAAAACTGTTTTACATCTGCATGTTTGATTCAATAAAAACCAAAAAGTTTTTTTCCCACAGTTTACAAAGGCACTCTCGGGGAAGCCCGTCTGAGAAATCGAAGAGGAATTGTTGAATTAGCCGGAGCCGTCAGATGTACTACGGGACGATCTCCTTTCGCCTACCTGCGTTATGGATGCTACTGTGGTCTGGGAGGAAGAGGATGGCCCAAGGACAGAGTAGACTGGTAAAAGTAACTATTTATCTGAGTAATTAAGTGCTGAATGTATGCAGATGACAGAGTGTGAGGATTAAAATATGAATTAGGCTTATTTAACATCCGCGAAGGAATAGAGTTTAAACACACCTCAGCCAGCTAAGAACTGGGAAGCGTTAAACATGCATTACTGTAGATGCACACGAGTCCTGCTTGCCTTCAACTCAGACTCTCATTGCATTAACACTGGAGTCACAGTACAGCTGAGGTTCTTTGCTGTGGCGCTTTGGCCAAGAGCTGGAGAACTAAAGCCTTCTTGGAGGATCTTTAAAGCTCAGACATTCAAGCTATCCACAAAAGTAAAAATTAAAAAAAAAAAATTGCAAATGAAAAATCTTTTTATTCTACTACCATCCATCCCATGTTATTAGTATTCAAAAGAATACATAGAAAATTGTGCAAAATTCAACCTGTTTAAAAATAACTTTTGAGGAAAAGGAATTATAAATTCTTACTAAAATAATTCTAAACCCAGACCTTTTTTTTCAGTTAAATCTCAGCATACTGGCTACCGTCAATTTCATTTACAATTGAACATCAGCTGGCAGGAAGATGATTTTCTGAAATAAAGGTTTTATATTTTCAGTTTCTCATTATAATGATACATTTCCCCACCACATGTGACATCTCAAGTTCTGACATATCAGACAGATATATTGTAAATTAAAAGGAAAACAAAGGCCTGATACTCACGTTTAGGGTCGAATATATGGAAAGTTCAAATCTGGTTTTCTTTTTTTTTTTTTTTGCACAAAGATTCTGGTTGTGATTAGACCTAAAACTTTTAGAATCTTTGCCTCCCTATTTCGAGTTTTTGGATGTGTAATCTGTTATTTTAAAGACAATTTTGTGGAACACCGTTGCCACTTTAATAACTGGGACCACATACAAAAAGAAGGGACTGTTATTAGTTCCAGTCATCCGTATACCCAAAGATAACGATGGAGAATCTGCAGCCTGCCAGTCTTTCATTGCAGGCCCTTTTTTGCCACTTTGTAAAAGTCCCATAGCAGGAGGAAGCTGCTTCTGCAGAAAACATGGCTAGAGATTTGTGGTCGGGGTTTTAATAGCTACCGACTGTTAAGAACGAGCCCGAAGTGAGTGTACTTACCCTGATGCATTTGAACAGAATCCAGAGTTGCACCAACTGAATGCAGAGGCAAGCACTCTTACCAAGTTTGATTGCCTAAAGTTTTGAGCTACCTTGCGCGCTGTTTACATTTAGAATTATGCCTGGAAACAAGTGAAAATACAGAAATACTTAATCTGAAGTAAGAACATCTGTAATGGAATTATTCAAATAATAGTTAGCACAATTTAGATTTTTGCCTGCCACTTATAAACTTTCAACTGGAGACAATCATATATTGCTTTCGTAAGATAAAATATGAAGTCCTTAAGCAGCTATTTTTATTTAAAATGCTTAAAACAGGACTAAAGTAATTCTAAGTGTCTTTGTAAACACAGGAAGATAGACTGCACTATGGCAAAAGCAGCTGTATTTCCTGGTTTATTTACCTTCATACTGCCAAAAAGACCCACTAGGCGGTTTTTTCTTGTTTCTATGTATGAAGTGGATGTATTGACTACTTCACGGGCACACACAGTTTAGCTGTTACATACTGCAGGATCTCTAAATGGCGATTCCTGTGGAATGACCAAGTCGTTATTTAATAAGCATAAGAAAAAACAGTAATTGGAAGTGAGAGCTCGCAGCATTAGCTTTTTCTATTGCAGACACAAATTCCTCAGGCAATCTGAACACCATCTAAACATCATGTGCCTGCTGTAACAGGACGGCTTTAGGCTACTAGGACGAAACTACACGACTGAATGTAAAGAGCTTGCGGATACACCTCATCCTTCCACCGAGCCAAAAAAGAATAAGCATAGTTAGTTTGCAGCAAAAACTTACCAGCGATCTAATTTCAGGTCCTTGTTACCTCCCCTGCTTGCTGTTCTGGGCTTGCAATGACTCTACACCAGAAGAGTAATCGTTTTTTTAAGCATTAAAATATGCCGTTAATGCTTACCTGTACTGTTCAGTTCCACAGTGTGATAGAAAGTCTATGAATTCATTGTCCCAGTTGTGACAAGAACAACTCCGAAATCATCCTTTTGGGTAATTTTCCACATTTTCTCATGATACTGAACCAACAGTTTTAGTTATATTATGGCATTAAACAGCACCTGTGCCTGTTCATGACCGAACATCTCACCCATGCTCAGTTTTTCTGCCACCATCTAAGGACTTTGCTCTAAGGCAACAGCCTAACAGATCTTCTTGTCCCTTCTCTGTTAGTAACTGTTACAACAGCGTCAATAACTGGCAAAAAAAAGACATCATTCATTATCTGACAGACTAATTGGGCATTTAATCTTTTTCTTGGAAGGGGCTAGGAGAGAAGCATTATTGTGTTTATAGTGTTTAAAACTGAGAATGCTGTAAAGGTTCCTTGTATTTTCATCTATGAGGAAGTTCAACTAGATCAATGTGTATCAGACATTCTCCTCATCACTGATTACATGAAAGAGTAATAATTTCTCCCGGGTGATGTTAAACAACTACCCTGTTCTGATTCCCGGGCAGGTAACTGTACATTTGTGTACGCTGTTTCCCTGGAGAAACATGCTGCTAAACCCCATCCAGATTCTGTGTCCATAAATCACCACGGTTTGAGTTAAAGCAAGCCCGTTTCTGCTACTCCCAGGTGTTGCTTCAACCACGACTGCTGCTATGGGAAGGCAGAGCAAGCAGGGTGTCACCCAAAGACAGAACGTTACTACTGGGAATGTGATGACAATGCTGTTGTGTGCGGTGAGTGAACGGCTCCAGATGGAGTTTGTTTGTTTTTTTTAAAAAAAACTTCTGTGATTGTTTCATTGACTTAGTAGAAAGACATTTTCTTAATTATCTGTAAAATTCTCATTTTACCATCCTTCCTGTTGTGACTTTTCTGCCAGGGTAAGCTGTGCCTCCAGAAAGCACAGCTGTGCCAACCAACAGGACGCAGTTTCTTCTCCTCTGTCCCCACCTGCTAACATACAGCAAACAAAAGTCTGATCCACAGGCCTCAGAAAGCCCTACCACAAAACCCCTTCTTTCTCCTCAGCCTTTATGTGTGTCGAGGAACCCATGTCATGCTACTCCCTGCAGGTCTCCATCTGGAGAGCATCTACAAACAGGAGATGAGAAAATTACAGCTGTTTAAAAAGGATCATAGAATCATAGAAAGTTTTGGGTCGGAAGGGACCCCTAGAGGTCATCTAGTCCAACCCCCCTGCAGCGAGCAGGGACACCACTAACTAGATCAGGTTCCTCAGAGTCCTGTCCAACCTGGTCTTGAATGTTTCCAGGGATGGGGCCTCCACTACCTCTCTGGGCAACCCGTTCCAGTGTTTCACCACCCTCATTGTAAAGAATGTCTTCCTTATATCCAGCCTAAACCTACCCTGTTTATAGTTAGCAGAAAATATTTCACACCGTTCCTAAGTTTATGACGGACAAGTTTTTGGCATACTTACCACTGCTTGGTTGCACAGCCCACTGCTAGTGGCTGCAATTTATGACTGAATTCACAATTGCAACTTCTAATTTCAAACACTGAGGTAATAAAGTATTTGATGAGTATGTTTATGTATGGAAGTAACATGTCCACATGCCATAAAATGTTAATTTGAAAATATTTACATAATTAGCATAGAAGTTGCATCAGATGGCTAACCACATCCTGATAAATTTTGTTTGATTGCTCCGAAATATGATGCAATATATTTGTCATGCTGGAGTATAAAAGAGGACAAAGATCTCAAAGAAACGAAAAATGTTTAACAGGAAAAAGCAGCATTTCTTTTACGTTATTTGTTCGCAGCTCCCAGAGTCGTAGAAAATATTTTCCATTACACTTCAAAGACTTTTTGAAACTGTAACTTCTCACACGCCCCCAAAATTTGCAGGGTTTATTCTTGCTGTTGTTAGGTTTTTTGTTGTCAGGTTGTTTGATTTTTTTGGTTGGTTTTGTGTGTTGCTTGGGGTTTTTCCTGTTTGGTGTTTTAAATCAGGTCCTAGGTCAGTTACTTTGCATGTACTTTTATGCTACTACCTAGAATGCAAATCAGCTTGAGAACTGGTTATTATTTGCCCCACAAAACCGCAGACCCTTACATAAACTTGTCCACAACAGTGAGCCCAAGACTCTGCCTATCCTAGTTTAAAGGCCCTTCAGAGAAAACACAAACACCTCTCATTTCATAACCCAATTCAAAATTTGCCTGAGATGAAATCAAATGAAAGGCTTTGACACTATTTCCCTTCCTCCTTTTCATTCAACCTTTACTTTGCCCAAGAGCCTACCTCATGCAGAATCTCTACTTGCTCATTTTCTCCTCTGCTCCAGAAGTACTAAGCGTCTCCTCTCGCAAACTATCTAACTCTCAAGTTGCAGTCCACCTACAGAGGCTGTAAGGTTCTGCTCCTGTTCCAGTCCAGAAGCTGACAATATTTTAAAATACTGGCCAAGACAGTAGGCACGTCATCGAGAAAAAAAGCTGAAACAAAGTCCCTGGCATCCCATGGAGAAGATGAAGTCTGGAGCAGTAACAAGAGAAAGAATAGTTCTTCTGCTAATGCTGGGGTTTTTTTATCCTATCCTGTTGTTCATGCTACTTACGCTATTCAGCAGTTCTTAGGGTAGCCAGTTGTAGTGTCAACACACGTACATCAAGAACACTTCCATTTCATAGCAGAATTGGAGTTCACTCACAAAACCGCACACTTGTTCTGCTCCTAGACAAATCTCAAGCAGAGATTCGGCTAAGCTTTCAAAATGTTAAATACTCAGACAAAATATAGTTAAAGATTCTTCAGTTTATAGCCAGCTGCAGAGAGAAAACACACACGGTTCTGGGTTGGCACAATAAAACCATAATATATTACTGTAGAAGAAAATGTTCATGCCAAGAAGAAACATGCATGCCAAGAAATCTGTTAAGTTACAACACTACAGTTATAAAACAAATATGGCCAGACATGGATTTTATTGTACCCAAATACACTTCACCTAACTTCTCACTGAATGCCTCAATAAAAAAGGTGGGCAATTTAAGCTGAACATGGAACATCTTTGCATCGCTTATTTCACATATATTATTTTAATGCTATATCCTTTAGTAGAATAAAGCATATGTGAAATAGAAAATATCTTCCCAAACTTAAGTTTCACTAGAGCAACAGGGTGGGCAGGGAGGGTCACGTCCCACTTTCTAAAGAGGAATCACTTATCAGAGCTCCTTTGTTAAAGAATGTGAAGAAAAGTGTTTAAGTCTTTATCCGATTGTTATATTTTCACCTGCCAAGACAGCTCCACTGATTACCAGTTCTCGCTAAACCAAACCATGCTTGTACACTCTCTGTGGCTGAGATGTCCCAGCACAGAGCTCTGTCTAACGAACACCAAAGAACTGTAAGCCTTACTAAAGCTCAGCACAGCTCCTACTGCGCTTGAAATCCAAGAGCTATTTGTAGGGCAAATATGGAATGTGAGGTAGCAATTCTTGGCGAGAATTCAATTTTTTAATTACTTCAGACTAACACCAAATTTACTGTGTTTTCTTTCAGAATCACTAGAAGACGAATGTCAAAAAATGGCATGTGAGTGTGACCGTGAAGCTGCCAAATGTTTTGCGAGAGCTCCCTATCACACAAAATACCTTTTGTGGCCAGACTTCAGGTGTGGTGACATTCAGCCGTTGTGCAGGTATTAGATATATGACATCAGCCTTCATGAAAACTCTGTGTGTATTTAAACCTAAAGTGACTTTTTGTTTTGTCACCGTAGCGACAACAAATGATTTTCCCCTTTCTTGATCCTCCTTCCTGCTACCTCAGCCTCTCCACCCCAGAATGGCCAAAGTAAACATTTATCCTCTTATTTACCTTCTACAGGGCACGGACGAAAAGCAAGTTTATTACTTGTGTGTAAGCTTTTATTGACTCAATAGGAATTTGAGTTTCTCAGCTTAAGGAGTAACTGACTTAAAATTAATTTTGTTTATATTCGAAGATTTTTCAGGTGAATGGTATCGTTCACTGTAAACTTTTCACCCCCGTTCACTCCGCTGACTAGAAGATACAAATCAGACTTTCCCACTAACGTTTACCTTAGCATTTGTTAACTTTGAACGGACCAGAAGAAACGCATGAGGTGACAGTCTCAGCACAAAGAGCCCTCTCACCTATATTAAACACTTATTGTGAAGCCTAATTTAACTTTTGCATCTCATTCACCTGAAGTAGTTGTACCTGTATTAAAAAAATGCCTAATATAATTCATTTTTTCTAGTATTTACTTTTTAAATACAGTTTTCTAAGAAGTTGTTCATTCGATACGGCTCAAGCTTCTTACTGTATGTACACCTTGAGTTTCCTGTGGGCACAGGGGGAAGTTCTACCCTTACAACTTCAGAGCCAGGTTTAAAAGTGCAAATGCAAACCGTCACCAAGACAGGTACATGAAAAAAGCAGCAGTCACTGGGATCAACTGCCTTTTCCATAAGTGTTTGCTCTTGGAGAGCACGAGTTTGCAAAATTCAGAAGCGTACACACCTCATAAGCGTGTAAAGGTGGTTTTAGCTAGGGTCACTTCATAGTTCTTTGAAACCTTTGAGGAAGAGAACTCAGTAAGACAAATTGCTGAATAATACACTTTTTGACTTTCACATTTTCACATTCGTTTTTTCACTTTTTGCTGTTCAATATATTTATCAATGACATGGACAGTGACATCGAGTGTGTACCCTCAGCAAGTTTGCAGATGACACCAAGCTGAGTGGTACGGTTGAGACACCAGAAGGACGGGATGCCATCCAGAGGGACCTGGACAAGCTGGAGAGGTGGGCCTGTGTGAACCTCATGAGGTTCAACAAGGCCAAGTGCAAGGTCCTACACCTGGGTCGGGGTAACCCCCGCTATCAATACAGGCTGGGGGATGAAAGGATCGAGAGCAGCTCTGCTGAGAGGGACTTGGGGGTACTGATAGACGAAAGGCTGGACAACTGCAACAGGCCCTGACAAAGATGAAATGATCCGAGGGCTGGAGCACCTCTCCTATGAGGACAGGCTGAGAGAGTTGGGCTTGTTCAGCCTGGAGAGGAGAAGGCTGCGGGGAAACCTGATTGCAGCATTTCAGTACTTAAAGGGAGCCTATAGGAAAGATGGGGACAATCTTTTTATCAGAGACAACATTGACAGGATGAGGGGTAATGGTTTTAAACTAAAACAGGGTAGGTTTAGGCTGGATATAAGGAAGACATTCTTCACAATGAGGGTGGTGAAACACTGGAACGGGTTGCCCAGAGAGGTAGTGGAGGCCCCATCCCTGGACACATTCAAGACCAGGTTGGACAGGGCTCTGAGCAACCTGATCTAGTTAGTGGTGTCCCTGCTCGCTGCAGGGGGGTTAGACTAGATGACCTCTAGGGGTCCTTTCCGACCCACAACTTTCTATGATTCTATGATTCATAACTGCCGATTTTAACAGTTTAAGAACGAGGGGTGTCTTACATCTACATTCACCCACCTCAACTTACTTAAAGATGCAGGGCTACACAACAAGTTTGCAGAGGACAACGCTAATGACAAGTACTTCAATATTAAAAAAAAAAAAGTAACAGTTCTTTAGGAAGGATGAAGATTTCAAAAGAGATCTTTAATCTTTAAAAATATTCACAGGCAAATTTAAAGTTCATATTAATGACACAAATGAAAAACAACCAAACAAACCAATGTAGAGCGCAAGGCGACAAACCCCTTGAAAAATCTAACCTGCTTCAGTCAAAAAACCCAAACATGAGCAAAGGGCAATCCTGTTTACACAAAATAACTTTCCAGTTAACATTCGATCACAAATCTAGATACACACATTATATTGCAGTCAGATGTAATTACAGCATCAGATCACTCTTCCAAAATCATCCTTTTTAAGAGATAACCCTGAACTGAAGAATTAGCAACAGACATCAAGAGGAGAGCTTTGAAGAAGCCACTGATGAAGTCTAACTGATCTGAACAAAAAATCTTTAATGGCAATCACCACATTCTCCAAGAGACAAGAAAACTCAAGCAGCTTTTGCCTTCAACAGC